TCTCTCTCTCTCTCTCTCTCTCGGCCACTCTCTCGGTTCGCTCCGTCTCCCTTTCGCCCGTTTCACTTGGTCTCGCTCGCGAACTTTGCCTCACCCTCGAGACGAGACGAAGGTGGACGACTGACGACTGACCTGTCTGTCTTCGAGAAAAACGAACGCTCTGGAAAACGCGTGGAAACAGTCTGAACGGTAACAGACACAGCGGATAAATCGAGATGTTACGACGTCTCACGGGCGCGTAAACGTACCTGATGAGAGCGGGAGCGCGAGAACGGGACGCGAGAGAGAGAAAGAGAGGGAGAGAGAAAGAGAGCGATTCTTCTCTCCTTCACACTTGGCTCTCTCTTCTCCGAGACTCTATTTTTCTCCTCGCTCCTTCTCCTCCCCCGGCGGCGAAAGGAGGCAGGAGGAATCTTCCGGTTGCAGCTTTCTCACCTCGCCGTATAACGCCACGCGGGAATCAATACGCGCGCCTGCCTCGAGCCTTTTTCTCTCTCTCTCTCTCTCTCCCTCTCTCTCGTCGCGCACTAACCACCCTTTACGCTCGTTCACCCTCTCTCACCCGCACGTTCACTTTCTCTCTCTCTCTCTCTCTCTCTCTATCTCTCTGACACCCACCCTCACCAGCTGAACCCTTCGTCCACTCCGCCCCGCGATGCTTCGCTTCCTCTCTCCCTCGCGCGCGAGCGCACCCTCCGGAGTATAGTACGCTACTCTGCCGTACGTTGCCAAAGAGAGCACTTCTCCTCCCCCGCTACCTTGGTATACTCGGACGGTGCACCGTATCTCCGTCCTTATCCTTCTCTCTCTTTCCTCGCTTCGAACAGGGTTGCTCCTCCTCGTGGAGGGTCGGCGAACGAAAGAGCACCTCGTCGACGACGATGACGGCGACGACACGAGAAGCACGATTACAAACTCGCATGTACGCACGCACAGCGACGACGCGAACAAGAGAAAGAGAAAGAGAGAAAGAGAGAGAGAGAGAAAGAGAGCGCGTGAGGGGTACACGCGTGAGTATATTTCGCGCGGGAATTGCGAGCTGCCCTTACGTCAGAGAACTGAGGACTACCCTCTCGCGGAGTGCAACGCGCCCCGCTGTATAACCACGACTATACGTTCGGCCGCCGTCGCGCGGACATGTCGAGAGCTGCGACACGCACGCAAGCGCGCAAGCGAGCGATAAAGACGACGAGGGTGCGAGGAGCAGGGCTGACGACGACGACGACGACAACGACAACGACGACAACGACGACGACGACAACGACGACGACACCGTATAGATATAATGCGAAGCGTCGACCGTTTTTCATCTTTGCCAACCAGACGCCTTCGATCGCGAATTGTGCCGAAAACTATCGATCTCGCGTACCCTTAGTTCCCAATTTCCTCGCCGGAGAATTTATTTTTTCCCGAAAAATCTCCTATATCTCGATGAAAACTGCGTATAAATCTTATAAGATTACATGTTCTCGCGATTTATTTGATATAATGTTGCGATGAGATTTTGCTCTTTATCCGCAAAAAGGGAAAAGGGTAAACATTCTTTACACTTTAGAGATAGAATTGTAGATTCTTGAGATGTTAAAGAAGAATGATAATCGAGAAAAAAATTATGAATTTTTATCACTCGAAGAGAATTGTATCCCGATGCGAATCATATAAAATTCTCTGTCTTTATGTATATTTTACATTTTCTCTACATTGCATAACAAAAGGAGAGGGAAGGAAATTTGATATACGGTAAAGCGATGAAACACTGTATTACCTCCACGCAGGGCAACTTAAAATTTTCGTCATTTTCCTCGAGAAACGGCGTTATGGTGCGGCGTCGATTATTGCATACTGATTACAGGAACATCTTAACAAGTCCACTACTAAGGTGGATGCTTAAAGAAACTTTAAAGGCTGCCGAACAGATCCGACGGGGCGCGGTGTTCAAAGTTTTCATCAGAACTGACATCTCTTTTTGACTAGCGCTTAAAATTCAAACTTTCACGAGAAGTTGTAACATAAAGGAGTACATTTTCATTAAGAATTACTTGTCGCAAAAAGCAATACTAGCGATTCGGAAGAATGAACAAAATTCGTAATTTACAGCCATGTTTTTATGAGACTGATAAAAAATTTTCTATGTCCTTTTTCTTCATTATATATATCCAAAAAAAAAAAAAGATATTTATAAGGATATTTATGAGTTTTATTTAGCGAGATGTGTGTTTTATTATTCTGCTCTCCCTATAGCAATATTGTATATTTAACAAGTTACAAAAATATTATACATTTATATATATATATATATTTCTTTGAAATATTAATATATAGTTGTGAATTTTACAGATTTATGCGTGCGAAACACATCTGACGAATATTATATCGATTCTTTATAATAGTTGTACTTTGTAATAGCTTATTATTATAGTAAAAGACATATTTACCGTGATTGTTGTAATTAATCGCTTAAAACACTTAATTTAAATCTTTACTATTGTTTCGCACTAATATCGTACCCAATAATCATAAATTGATTTCAATGATACTTCAGTATGTTATATCATTATATAATCGATGAATATATATAGAGAGAGCGATATAACACAGTCATTGAGCGAATGACCGGCTTATATTTGCGAGATTGTTAGTTTATTTGAATCGACAAGTTGATGAATTTGTTTGTGTTTTCGCGAAACAATGATTTAACAATGATTTGTTTATTTGAATCGACAAGTTGATGAATTTGTTTGTGTTTTCGCGACTCATTACATCCAAATCATTTATCACCGATTAACAGGGTAAAAGAATTAATCAACTTTTTTATTGTTGCGAAGGCATCTCAGTTTTTACTTTAAACAATGATTTCTCATAATAATCAAACAAATAATTATTTCAATTCCAAAATTAAAAATGTTTTATAATTGAAAGTAACTTTTAGCGAAAGAAATAATTAATGAATTGATAGATTGCTTTTTTAACTATTTGTGTTTATATTTCTCTCTACCACTGCATTAGCATGTGTTTCTTTCTATAATGTTGTAGGAAAAAATAATCTCTTATTTACAGTGCACATATTACATTTGAGGAGTTAATAAGTAACCCCTCTTAAAAGTGATCGACAATTCAAAAGGACTAGATCTAAATTAGTGGCTGTTTTGTCATTACCGACAATCCTAAATGTCCTACTTCCGATTCGGTTATTCAAGTCCGGGATCGATTGGGGCGATCACCTCGCGTCAAAAACACTTGTCGGTATGGAAGATGTCACATTGATTCTTAGCCTAGGTAAGGAAGTACTTATCCGATTGTCAGCTCATAAATTTTAAAACGAAACGGATTAAATTTTCAAGCATAATCGATGATTAATTAAACCCACCGAACTCTCGCGACACATCAATCATCTTGTGAAAACGGCAAAATAGGAAATGTCATAGATTGCAAATTTTGATCTATTAATAATTTAATGCAGCGATTTTATTAGATAATTACGTTATACATTGTATGTCGAAATCTATATCTATATATTTATTGTTAATACGAGATAGTTACTTGAGTATGAAAATTATGTAAGTAAAAATATCACCTTTTTTTGTTAGACATTGTTACTTATACAAATTAATTTAAATTTTTTATCATTTCGATTCTATTCATAGCTTCGACTTTTAGTTGCGAAATTTAAAGTAATTATTCTAAAACTGTTTAAAAAAAGATGATTATTCACGAGTTATTCACCATTAATACAAATGCTACAAAAAAAGATTAACGCAACTCTAGCGTACGGTGCTGCGATTGGACGACATTTGAATGAACGGCGGGCAGCATTCACACCTTTTTCAACCCCTTTCTTCCACTCACAACCTCGTCCACTTCGAAACCCCCGATGTACACTAAAGGTTACGATGGTTGACACGCGAGCGTTGCCGCGTGCACATGGATGTCACATACACTTGACCATCTACGCACGAAATGCACAGGCGCAGTAATGTATCGAAGATTTCTTCGGAAATCTATAAAAACTAAGAGACGTTCTTATATAATTTTCACTGAGAGAGATTGAAAAAAACTTTCATACCTGAGATATATTATATGTTCGACTATCTTTTATGAATTATTTTTTTATTTAATCATGTGAATAATTAACGTTACTGATACATCAAGTACATAATGCTTCTCCGTGTTTGCAATTTTCCCTCCTCAATTTTTATTCAAGCGATTAGATTATGATCGTATCGTATCTCTCGCGGATTTCAATCCACCATCGTCAAGATCTGCCCGCGACGCGCAGTGGAACAGATACGTCACTGGTCGGCCGCGTACGCATTACGTCGATCTGGACGTGCGGCTTACGTACAAACGCCGATACGCTCGCTCTCCCCCTTTTTCCATCCCCTTCCTCCTTCCCCCTTCTCCCTTCCATCAGCACGTACTACGGGAATACTACGTTCTGTGATGCGGGGCAATTAAGCCCGAACCACCCCCACTCGCGGCCCTTCCACCACACCACCAGCGACCACACGGACTTCGGACCTGCCGCGGGGGCGCAAGTCTGTGTCTTCTTTTACCACCCCCTACCGTTTATCCATTCGTTCATTCATCGGAAAGAATACACCTTGACCGGCTTCACAGCTTCACAAATCGGGAAAATCCAGAACCGTTCGATAAACCAAAGAAGAAATGAAACGCATCACGCTACGTGTGATATGTATGATAATTAAAATTTACAGTATTCATGAATGAACATACAATCTCTAATGCGATCGGTAAAAGTAATTATAATAAAAGTTAAATTTAATTTGAAATTATTAAATAAATTGTATTCGATATTTGTAATTGTTGATTTACAATGAATTATAACAATGTACAATGAAGATCTATAAATAAGGAAAGTAACGTGTTACTTTCTAGTACATTTTTGAAAGCATTTAAAAACAAAATTTAACAATATAGATATGTATATTGTATATGTAAAAACATTTTAAATTACACTTCTTCACTAATTTCACAATTTACACACTTTTTTATTTATATTTTGATATTTCTAACATAGACATATATGTAGTATTTTGACTACTTTCCTTTTCTCGAATAATCCTGTTTTCTTTTCTTATCACCTATACAATATGTACTCACCTTGATTTAATAATGCTTTTGACTCTAGTCGTAATAATTGCCCAGATGACGTAAATGTACGAGAAATTTCTTCTGTTACATTATCAGGAGTCTTTAATAATATTTCAGCATGCCCACACACTGGCCCACAGCCCACAGTCGCGAGTAGGATCTGTCGAGTGGCAAACGGTACACGCGGCGCCATCTGTATTGTCGATATGATAAGCTCGGCCGTCCGAAACGATACATGCGGCGCCATCTGTATTGTCGATATGATAAGCTCGGCCGTCCGAAACGATACATGCGGCGCCATCTGTGCATTGATGCGACAAGCACGGTGTCACTTTGACGGTTGGTTGCCTCCATCATTAAATGCACGTGTGTTAGCCTGTCGCACGGCACGTTCGATTTTTGGCGCACAAAGGATAATATTTTGGGGTGTTTTACGCGATCAGAATCGCCGAGAAAAATCATACGTGTGATAATTTACGAAGCGTCTCGTTATCACGAGTTTCCGTGACGGATTGGCGAACGATATCTGGTTTCTTTTGTCCACTGGAGGTGAGTTTTCCGAGCCCTCTCTCGTAACGGCTCGCCACTCTCCTTGGGACCGTTTACGGCGATGCGACATAACGTTGAGCATTTTCGCATTCTCGTCAATTCTCGTCCGCGGTGTTTCTTTTTGACACGTGCTCGCGAAAAAGCGCCTAACCTACGTCTTACGTAACGCGGCGAAAACGCCGCGATTGCCAATAGGCCGTCTCACCGAGTTCTTTCGCTCGTGAGCTGTAACGACTGGGTAAAATTACAGGTGAAAGAGGAAGGCAATGCCGTCCGACGCGAAGAAGAAACAGCAGCAAAAGAAGAAGGAGGCCGCGAAGGCGAGGCAGTCCGGGAAGAAACCGTCACAGAGTAACAATCAGACGAAAATTGCCGACGATAATAAGGATCAGAATCCGACGTTGGGAGATTTGCAGAATGGAACCAACGGCACGGCTATTAGCGCCGAAGGTAGGTGTAAGATTATGCTATTTTTTATCTCTTCTTTAGAGAATATCAATGAGCTCTCATACTTGAGTCATTTTTTAGTTATTTTCGATGTTTAATTTTTAATCTTATTAATACAATGCTTTAAAGATTTTTAATGTTATTAATACAATTTTTTAAGCAAAATATTTGAAAAATTAAAATACAAATTATTCTTAAATGTTATTCGTAAATGTTTTCACAAAGTGATGTATTCTTTTTGCTTTTTTAAATATTTACAAAATTTATATTTAGTTTGGCATTTTACTTTCTCTTTAGTATGAATTGTAATTAAGAATAATTTCAATACTTTTAGTTTGAAAACATTCTGAAAATTATTTAAAATACTGTCATACGCATGACAAGAGAAATAAATTTGAAATAATCTATAATGTAGGATAATTCAATTTTTAAACACACATATTTTTAAAAATTCTACATTTTAATATGGTATTACCTCGATATATTTAATCTTTATAATAGGTACTTATATTATTTGTTATTGTACTTTATTGTATTATTCTAGACTTATAATCAATCTGTTCACAAAACTTTATATAACTCTATAAAATAGTTATCTACAAAATTATTTGCAACTACCTATGTTTATTTCATCAAATATTTGTGTTAGCATACACATGTTTGCATAATGTATATTTGCAGAGGCGTTATGTCTGAAATTGGAGGCAGATGCCAGACTCAATGCAGAAGCACGTTCGTGTACCGGATCATTGGCTTCGCATCCGCGCAGTCGAGACATAAAGATATCTAACTTTTCTATTACTTTCCATGGCTGTGAACTGCTGCAAGACACCATGTTGGAATTGAATTGCGGCAGACGTTATGGTTTATTAGGTCTAAATGGTTCTGGAAAATCTACATTGCTAGCAGTGCTAGGAAACCGTGAAGTTCCTATCCCACAGCAAATAGATATTTTTCATTTGACTAGAGAAATGCCTGCAAGCAATAAAACAGCTCTGGAATGTGTGATGGAGGTTGACGAGGAGCGTATACGATTAGAGAAGCTTGCTGAAGAGTTAATAGATTGCAACGAAGAAGATGCTCAGGTTTGGTACAAATTATTTACATTGATATTTGCCATAATCTAAAAACTTTTATCAAAAAAAAAAAAAACAATTGTTTTACGCACAAAATATAGGAACAACTCATGGATGTGTATGAGAGATTAGAAGATATGGCTGCCGACACGGCGGAAGCTCGTGCTGCCCATATTTTACATGGTTTGGGTTTTACTGCGAAAATGCAAAAAACGCCTACCAAAGATTTCTCAGGAGGTTGGAGAATGCGTATAGCTCTTGCTAGGTATATGAAAACTTTACGTACACATGTATACATACATACACACACATATATATGGTTTGCGTATACAAAAACACCATTGATATATGTGTTATATTTAGATTTTGCAGCATTTTTTTGGCATTTCTTTTACAGAGCACTTTATGTAAAACCGCATCTATTGTTACTCGATGAACCAACCAATCATCTTGATCTGGATGCTTGTGTATGGCTGGAGGAAGAACTAAAAACCTATAAACGAATTCTCGTTATAATCTCTCATTCTCAAGATTTTCTCAATGGAATTTGCAGTAATATTATTCATGTGAATAAAAAGCAATTGAAATACTACACTGGTAATTATGAGGCATTTATTAAAACAAGGTAAGTTGCAAGCGACAAAATGCTTCCATATCTTATATGTCGCTGATTCTTTAATTACATCAATGCTTTCCTTTAGAATGGAGTTACTTGAAAATCAAGCAAAGCAATACAATTGGGAACAAGATCAGATCGCGCATATGAAGAACTATATTGCACGGTTTGGTCATGGTTCTGCGAAATTAGCTCGACAGGCCCAATCGAAAGAAAAGACTCTAGCAAAAATGGTGGCTCAAGGTCTGACAGAAAAAGTTGTCAATGACAAAGTGCTAAACTTTTATTTTCCTTCATGTGGAAAGATTCCGCCGCCGGTTATCATGGTTCAGAATGTCAGTTTCCGCTACAACGAGGATGCGCCTTGGATTTACAAGAATCTGGAATTTGGAATCGATTTGGATACTAGACTCGCATTGGTTGGACCAAATGGAGCAGGAAAAAGTACGCTGCTGAAGCTGTTGTATGGCGATGTATGTACCAATAAATATACGTTTTATTTATTAATGCCTCTGCACTCGATACTTTTTTCTTAACAAAGTAATGTTATATTGCAGTTAGTGCCAACAAGCGGAATGATTCGCAAAAATAGTCATCTCCGAATCGGCAGATACCATCAACACTTGCACGAACTGCTGGATTTGGATATGTCGCCTCTTGATTACATGATGAAAGCTTTCCCTGAAGTCAAAGAGCGCGAGGAAATGAGAAAGATTATTGGTCGCTATGGTCTAACCGGACGTCAACAGGTATATCAAAATTTATCAAAGTGATTTGTTTCAGAAACGGCACTTGAATATATATTATATTTTATTTATTTTATAGATTTGTCCTATTCGTCAACTGTCGGACGGTCAACGTTGTCGAGTTGTATTCGCCTGGTTGGCTTGGCAAGTACCTCATCTGTTGCTGCTCGATGAACCTACTAATCATTTGGATATGGAAACGATCGATGCGCTCGCCGACGCCATTAACGACTTTGACGGCGGCATGGTCCTCGTTTCGCATGACTTCAGATTGATTAATCAAGTATGTACATTTTTCTGTAGCTCTATTTTAATCCGATGTATATTTTCTATGCTCAATTTGTAGGTTGCTGAAGAAATCTGGGTGTGTGAAAATGGCGCAGTTACAAAATGGAGCGGTAACATTTTAGATTATAAAGAACACCTCAAAGACAAAGTCCTCTCAGATAACCAAAAGAGACAAAAGGATTTGGCAAATCGGGGCAAATAATAGGAGTTTGCACGATTTGCCGTATTTCTCTCTTTTTCCAATGCACTATGCCTCCATTTATAGAAATCTTTTTGCGAAAAATCGTAACATACTAATTATCACTGAGTATACGCTAATCCATAACGTTTCAGTGATGATCGGTCAGATTACTTATTGTTAGTTAATTTATTAAAATATTAAGTCGAAATTGTGGATCTATTTGACAACCCACAAACGGTTGCGGCGCATTATTCGCGACACACTAGAAATCTAGAAATCCGAAAATGTCCGTGTATATTACAAATTGAATCTAAATAAATTACTGACGATTGATTAATGATAATAAATATATCTTGAACTATGACATGAAAGTAGAAAAAAAAAAAAGACGAAAGAAACCAGTGATTTCTTTTATGATTAAATTCTTTATTAAAAATTCTTATCAGTCTATAAAATAATTTGATTCTCTTCAAGAATATAAAATATTGTAACATGTACAAACATACGCAGGTACGATCGATTATATAGTCCTAAAATACATTTTTATCTGTATACGTATATAAATAACTATATATGATAATATAACATATGGAAGACACATTGTTTCCACATATATTTCTGCATATTGCAAAATATCGATTCTTAGTAAATCGCGTTTTAAACGATATTAAAATATATTCTTTATGATACTTTCGATATAAAACACTGATGAATTTTCGTCAGTAAATATGAACTTCTATTAATTTCAGTTTTATACTTTGAGATCAACGATGATCTATATTTATGTATTTGTCGCCCGAAACGTTCCTATATATAATCCTTTAATGTATACACTACATTTGTGAATCTAGCAATTGTATTATTACATTATGTATAACTTTCGTTGCTACCGCGTGACGACGACAATTAACCCAAAGCCATGGAAAGATAAAAATAGATATCAAAGAAAAAGATAGATAACTGGAAATTACCAATTCTGTGCGAAAGAAAGATTTGATTCCACTGTGAAAGAGATATACACTCAAACTGGCGTAGAGGCTGGGATGGAGCAAGCAACTTCTTGAGCTAATGCTGCATTTCTCAAGACCAACAGATGCGTGTCCATGTCGTTTAAGGCTTGATCAATGAATGCTAATTTCCTGACTTGACTCTTTGGTACGCCATGCTTGGTTACTAACGCCAAGTGAGTCACAGCCAATACCAGAGCTGCCACTCTGGCCTCTAGCAGCCTGGCATCCAATGGTGGATACAGACTGCGGACAACATCGTCTACACGAGGCGGTATACGTCGGGCAACCTGAGTAAGGATAAAATGCAATATAATCTGATAGAAGCGGCACAGAAAAATAATATACAATACTTGCACGTACATCTACTATTTCCAGTGGGACAGTGTTACTATTGACAGTTCCAGCAATAGTGGTAAGACTGGCTGCAAGAGCATGGCAAGAACGAAGCACTGCTATACAAGGTGGAGCCAAGCCAGTAGCATCATCTACCCATCTAAAATGCAATAATATCATCTTTCTAATAAATTGTGTTTAAACATTTAAATTTTCACAAAATTAATCAACACTGTAAGAAAATAAGAAATGTAAACAATCCATCTTGATAAATTTTATAGCATAAATTAGCTTAATTTTATGAAGATGTCAGAAACCTAATATAAATTTGAATAAAAATAAACTAATGTAAATATGATTTTATCTATTGATCGTATTATTTTACAAAATATAATGTTTCTTCACTGTTTATAACTTTATTCGCACCTTTCAGCACCTGCCAGCCACTCTTCGCTCTCCCATACATCCAGTCCCAAGCCAGTGATGTTCTCTCCTTCGAGTAGATCGGAACTTAATTCCGCAGAGTCCTTTTGATTCTGAAAATGAGTAATATTATGGCATTCCTTCCTAGGACAGTTTAATATTCCCGACTCTAGGACGTTTATCAAACTCACATAGTAGCAACGCTGCCTGCGACAGATAACCAAGAGTACCAAGAGTGCACCAAGGAAGACCGCAGCTAATGCACCCAATGCAACTGCGACCACTGTCTCCATACCAGTGGCAGTGGTCGGTGATCCAGCATTGCTCATGGATATTGACGAGCTCATAATATCAGATACGAGTATAGTAGTGACTACCAATCGACGATCTCGCAAATCGAAGCGTTGATGAAAAAATTATTCGTAATAGGAGACAGTATCAACCACTTGGACTTACATTGACATTTGAAACAAAAATGTCAACAATCGCACAGGGCACAGAGGGTTGTCGTGTAATCCACTCTCCCTGTCTCCCGTCTCCCGTCTCCCGATGACGCCGATGACGCCGATGACGGTGATGACTGGTGATGACGGTGAGAGGCGGAGACAGTCACGGATCTTAAGTTCTATTCATTGTACGAGAACATCTGAGAACAACTCGTGATTGGTATGTATTGTTGCGTTACGTAAGAGCATTCGAATTGGCATTTGGCATCAACAGATGATCGGAGCATTATATTGAATTAGTTGGACCAATCGGGATATCGGGAATCGGGCAGACTTGGTCAAGTCAAGACTAGTCAAGAGTCAAGACATGCTCTTTACATTCTCGCGTGATAGCTTGCCGCTGGCAAATTTCGCCTCATCGGCGATCACTTTTAATCGAGGCGCATCATTCGTTTCATCGTCTGGCCCTCCTTCAAACCGAACGGCTACGAATCGTGGCTCGTGGCTCGGATTCGTTTCAACCTCTGCGCGATCGCATGTTTATTCTCGTTGCGGACAACATAACCTATATCATTCTGCGACTTTTACCTCGAATCCAACGTCAACCTCGTATACGTCGAGACGTTTCGATGACTATCGTTAACTCAGCAGCGGATAAATTCCGGAAAGATCATCATAGCTGATACACTGGCCAAAGAATATATGCTAAAACGAGTGTAAGAGATTGGGTATTGTCTGTTTGGAGGTAACATTGGGCTATAGGCTATTCTATACAGGATGGACAAAGAAAGCAACAGTGCGATACCTAGATTGAGACAGGATTATCTGCATCTCAAGATGGATCCAGTACCGTATATTCTTGCGGAACCAGTGCCTACCAATTTGTTAGAATGGTAAGAGATATTTTGTTTAAACAAGCACACATAATTTTTAGCATGAGCAGCTTAATATAGATGCTATTGGTTTCAGGCACTATGTGGTTAGGGGACCAGAAAGCACTCCGTACGAAGGTGGATATTATCACGGGAAAATTCTATTTCCAGAGGAGTTTCCATTTAAACCACCTAGCATTTATATGTCCACACCAAACGGTCGATTTTGTATCAATGCAAGACTGTGCTTGTCTATTTCTGATTATCATCCAGAAACATGGAATCCAGCATGGAATGTATCTACTATTCTCACTGGCTTGCTTAGTTTCATGGTATAAATTTCTTTCTGCAGAAATATTTAAAAGAGCTTTATATCAAATAAAGATTTTGTGTGTTTACAGATGGAAAAAACTCCTACACTCGGTAGCATAAATACAACAGACTATGAAAAGAGACAGCTAGCAATGCAGAGTTTAGAGTACAATCTCAAGGACAAATTGTTTTGCGAGCTCTTTCCAGAAACTGTTGAGGTATTACTCTATTGTATTGTAAAACAAACACACAAACTATATATACAGACTATATAGTATATAAGTATATTATTGAATTTTCCTTTATGAATTATGATTTATTATCGAATATATTGTAGGCAATCAAAACTGAATTGGAACATCGGAAAGAGAAGAGACTTGATGAGTCCAGATGAATGAGCTGAATTTTCTATATTTTGCCAGACACCGATTTTCATCCTGTTCTGCCCTCTCCTAAAAAATCACAAACTAGTATTTTTATGATTATTTGAGTTGTGGACATAATGAGTCATTGCCGTTATCAGGTGCACAGCAATTTTTATACATCAGTGCTTAAAGAGTGCTAAAAACGTTTGATAGTTACCTATAAGAAAAACATATGTGTAAAAGATAAGTAGTTGATGACATAAATATCTAACCTTGGACATTTATAATATCTGTCACGGAAGATATTGTACGCTCAATTTATTTGGCATATAATTTTTGAGTTGTATGTATGTGACACAAGAGTGTTTACAATTTTTGAACATAAAAGAATAATGAAAATATCAACGAGGGAACGTATGCCAGTAGTGAAAGAATATAATTTGTTTGCATCATTTATATATTTAATCATAATTAGTTTGAGTAGTCGCGGCGAGAGCCCCGTTGCTGCATCGGTCGTGAACAACGCCGCCGGCCAACCGCGAGACGAGCGAGCGTTGTTAGAAGAGCCTTCTGCCATTTCGTAAATCAGCCCGGCGAGCTAAAAGCTTTGCCTGAAGTCGCTGCACCGTGAAAAGGTCTAATGCACGTCGCCGTTTCAATAATACGCCAGGCTCGCGATATTGGCGGCTAGAAAAACAATTCGCGGACATTTGTTTTTTTTTTTTTTTTTTTTTTTTTTTGTATTTGGCTAAACATCAACAAAATATTGAACAAACTAATGCATCCGCGCTATTTTCAAAGGGCGAAAAATACAATCTTCGTAAAATTTCTAAAATTCCTCGAACTTTTTAATTTCATGATAGTTTAATTTGTCTGCATTTATTTTGTCAAAAATATGTATAATATTTGTATTCTTTTATTGATTAAGGATTTTAAAGAGTGACCTTTTTTTAAAAGTTTCAAATATTTAGCGTTTTAATAATTGGTAAGTCTTTCTGTATATATACAAATAAAAACTAAAAACTCAAAGTAATATGGGTTCACTCTTCACGGCTCGCACTTAATCAGTTTCGCAATATATACTTACAATTCCGACATATTTTACGAGTCGATTTTTTTTTAAGCATAAAATACTTGAACAGAAAATATTTTACTTCAGTATAAAACGTTCTGTGTATATTATATGTTGTTTGCTGAGAGTCAACAAATTCTGATTAACTTATGTAATAGCTATAGTATATATGTTAACATAAACAGAATTATTAATTTTTATTGTTTGACATATGCAAGGAAAGATTAGATTAGGAACAACAAATTATATACTTAGAAATTTTGTTGTAGATCAAAATGATCTTGAGATGCACTGCAATATCGCATAAACATCAGTGTTTGAAGGCTCATATTGGTCTAAAAATATCATCTCTCAATTGCATTTTCTCTGTATTTACTAACAATTTTTCTTTTTCTTGGAAAAAAGTACATAAATGTCCTATTGTACTATTACTATGTACTATTAAAGACCTATGTACTATTAAAGACCGTCAGCCCTGGGTAAATTTTTGTGACTATCAAGTGGGCCCGGTGAGCCCGGAGGTAATTGAAGGATGTTAACATTACCGGCCGTTTTGATTTCATCGAAGATAATTACACGAATTATTTAATTCATACGGTTATTTTAGTTCATCCAGTTATTGTTTTATTATCGAAAACACCAATGAGATATCATTAAAGACCAATGGTTTTATTGGAAAAAAAAACTCGCCACGCACTACTATAGATAAGTAAATTTTTGCATTGTCGATAATAAAACAGTCATTTTACAATAAAATGTGTATTTTATTCTTAAAGCAGTTACATAAAAGATCTATACATTTTCGATAATAAAACAATAACTGGATGAACTAAAATAAGGCGCAGCGAGTTTTTCTTTCAGTCACAGTAAATCTCATAAGACCATCGATCTTTAATGATATCTCGTCAGTGACATAGATAATTTATTGCAAAGTGATTTTTGATTTACAAATTTATTCGAAATATTATTTTTTCCCGCCAATGTGGCAACACTGCGCGCAAGCGGACGAATTTATTGGAGTCCGGTCTCCGGTGCGGTGAACTTCATCATATGCTTTCCATTGTCGCGCGACAGCTCGCAGCTGTCAAATTACGTGGATCACCGATGATTGTAAGATCCCACCGAAACACATTTCTCGTCTAGCATCTTCCAATCCGAGCAGCTCCAAGAACGGGGTTTCTTCATCGTCTTGTTGCGCGTTTGTCCTCGTCATCCTACGTAACATAACCTATTTCACGCGACGTCTGCAAAATCGTCAAAATCTCGATAATTTTGTCGTCAACTTCGCGAATAAATCCCGCCAAAAATTGTCGTGGTAGCTGTTCCCACCTGAAATTTGCAATGCGCAAATATTTCGCGATTCGACAGTGCTGAGACGGCGACGAAAAAGTCAACTTGTGAAATACATTGTCGGATTTGTAAATATTGCAAAACGAATTAAGTGCGAGCTGTGAAGATATTTGATAAGCTGGGCGAGAAATATAGAATCGCGACGAGTATAAAAAACTGGGAGATAACGTCCGTTCGGAGGTAACACTAGGCTCTATGGTAAGGATGAATAGAAAAACCAACAGTGCGACGGCCAGATTGAAACAGGATTATTTGCGACTCAAAAAGGATCCAGTACCGTACGTTCTTGCGGAACCAGTGCCTTCGAATATATTAGAATGGCAAGTGTTTTATCGATATTCTGTTTGAACTGATTATTTGGTTGGTTTCGAATACAGAATGATTAATACAAAACTACTTGTTTTAGGCACTATGTAGTCATAGGACCAGAAAAGACTCCATACGAGGGTGGTTTCTATCATGGAAAACTCATATTTCCAGGAGAGTTTCCATTCCAACCACCTAGTATTTATATGACCACTCCAAATGGTCGATTTAAAGTCAACACAAGATTATGTCTTTCCATTTCCGATTTTCACCCTGATACATGGAATCCAGCGTGGAGTGTATCTACTATTCTTACAGGATTGCTTAGTTTTATGGTAAATAACTTCCCTCCCCCCCCCCTCCATATCTAGGTATCTAGATATAACTTCAAAAATATTGTTGAAAAATGCTCTTGTAGGCTTAATGATATTGTATTTATACAGATTGAGAAAAGTCCTACACTTGGTAGCATTAATACAACAGATTATGAGAAGAGACAGCTAGCTGCACAGAGTTTAGAATACAATCTGAGGGACAAAATGTTTTGCGAACTATTTCCAGAAACTGTCGAGGTATTTTGTCGTATACTATAAAACGTGTACCTAAACTATTATATCAATATGTCATTACTGAAATTAGAATATTTTTATCTAATGCGAGATTACGTATGATAATATCGCAGGCGATCAAAACTGAGCTGGAGCGTCGAAAAGAGCTTGAGAAACAAGCGAGGCATCAGTCCACCGCATCCGAGGTCTCTTCCTTGATACGAGACCAGTTGCAGAGAGAACAAAGCCCATTACATAGCGCACTGGCCAATCTCGTCGTTATCATCGGCTTTGCAGCATTCGCATACACAGTGAAATATGTATTGAGGAGCATAGCTATGGAATAAATCGGAATCTGAATTTCAAATCACAACGAGCACAAAATGGGAGAGCCATGACGATCATGTGTGTACATTTTGAAACGCGACGAAGAACATAAAAAGAAGATGCTAGGCTCCCATATTTGCCTGTTGATCTATCTTTCGAATCTGTGCAGCATTTGGTTTTGCACGGTTCGGAGAACTTTTGCCAGCGTGAAACCTTTGAATAGTTTGATAGATTTTTATATCAAGTTGATTGTAACATACAAGCTGTATTGTAATCCGAATGCTATCCAGCTATTTATCAATGAGGAAGAGTCATCGTAACCTCTCTTAATTCAATTGAAAGAGATGTGTAACAGATGAAACAATTTAATCGCAGTGGCTTCCCGCCTTTTTTATATCAGATTTGCACTCTTCTAGCAATGTAATTAGAGAAACTAAGTTTCTTCGCTTATGGTGCTGCAACATTCTTCCTTTCATTGAATTTTCTACACTTTTAAGATTACGTAGAGTCAAAATATATCCAAAGAGAGAGATACACATTTTACACAATACATCTACTTAATCCTGTTAACAGAGAATCTCTTGGATAGAAATGCACAAATTTATCGCACTCTACAATGTGCCAATGAGAGTAAGTCTAAAAATGTAATTAAATCAGATTATGCTTGATAGCCTGACTTATTCCATTAATTTAACAAGTTTATTTGTAAATAGATATTGTAAGAACAAAGAAGCACGTCATATAGAAATAATCTCGATATTAACATAACATAAAGATAAATCTGCCGCGAATGTAATTATATTCATTGAATCATTAGTAATTACCTCGAGACTTTCTTTAAAAAAAAAATGGTTTGATTAATCTTTTCGCTACGAATGGTATATGTATATATACATATATGTCTTTTTATTACATTTATTTTTGCAAATAAGATGTCAATTATTAACAATTGAAAATTAGACAACACTGAAATGCCTAAAACATTTGATTGTGAAATGATTTGATGTCCGATAATACGTATCTTAACTATCTAATCTATATGGTAACGTGGCAAGTTTTTTAAAGATATTATGAGCAAATTTTCACAACAATTTATTATTTTGAAGTATTTGATACATTTGATGCATCAATTTTATAAAATCAAAATAAATACTAGTGTTGTGTTGCTAACATCTTTTGCATCGCAGGGTGGTAGAGCATTTCATAAATCACTAGCATATAATAGTAATTGTTTCATACCATACATAGCAAACGCTTTTAGTCTCAAGCACGCTGTAGCGTGAAAGGGTTAATATATTTCTTATTTATATATTCTCTTTAAATGGCTCATGGGACTTTTTTTTTTTTTTTTCCACGAATTTTTTCCATTTAAATATTTCCAACATTTCTTCCTTCATTGGCACAAAGAAAATATTTACAATGTGTGCAGGTAAATTCACGCTCTT